CCAGCTCCTCCGGGGGAACTCCAAGGCGTTCCCAGGCCAGCCGAGAGACATAGTCCCTCCAGCGTGTCCTGGGTCTTCCTCGGGGCCTCCTCCCGGTCCCGGTCCCACTTTGTCACCTTTAAAATAACTGAATAAAAAGTAAATTTGACATTTAATGATGTCTTTTTGTCCATTTGTTTTTGTTTATTACCCGTTCTCCAATAAGTTTCAAATTTTATTTTACAAAACAGTTTGTTTAACTGCATGGTGGAAAACTTCTACTAATGAAATAAACAGGATTATGTCTCCATTAGACAGTCAGGATGGTAACGGATTTAAACTAAACATAAAAACCATCCAACAATTAATGAATATACAAACACTTCAGATAACTGATAACACATTAAAAAACACGTATAAAACATATCATATATAAGTGTGTGTCTTTGTTTTATACAACTCTAGTCCCAGTAAAGTTTGTGACAAGTTAACGTAAATAAAAACAATGCATTGAAAATTTCAAACCCATACTGTATTTTATTCACAATAAAACACAGTAAACAGTTATTACCCATATTTCATTCTATTGTGAATAAGATACGGGTTTATGAAATTAGAAAATCATTGCATTTTTTTATTTACACTTTAAGCATCATCCCAAATATTCTGGAACCGGGGAAGTACAACTAGGTTGATRAAAAACTTTAAAACAAAAATCACCATAGCAAACTAATAAGTGCCAATGGCAGCTTTGAGGGCAGTCCTTTTAATAAAAGCTTTAAAAAAAAGGAAAATTGTCTTTAGAGAAAGAAGATAAAGTTAATGCCCCTCYGTTACTCTGGGGAGTGGAGGTGAACGTGGTGGCTGATGGCCTGCTCCATGGAGCTTTTGAAGGCCCTGTAGGTGGACATGACGGGCAGGAGCAGGGTGTTGGAGTCGGGCTTGACCTGAGGAAACAGACCCCCGTCGTTCCACTCCTCCTCTGCTGCGGCTCTGCGGGGGGCGGGGCTGTGGAGGAAGGAGACGGAGGGAGGAGGGTGGAGGCCCACGGCTGGAAGCTCCTCGGCTCCGGTGGAGAAGCGAACGATGTCCTGCAGGGAGACGGAGCTCCTCCCAACTGAGGACAAGGAAGCAAAATGTTGACAAACAGCTGCTTTAATAAACTGAACACAGATGTGAAATGTTTCTAAACTATTTATATGGAGAGAAATTAGTCTTTTGTTAAGCAGGAATTTAGTTTACATTTTAACAATTTCTAATCCACAAACACTGGGTCTCATGCACGAACATGTTCGTATTCTTATCCTAAATTTCTCTTACTTTTTTTAGTACAAAGGGTTCGTAT